GTGTCCCAGAGGAGCCAGGTGGGAATGGGATGGGAATGGGAATGGGATGGGAATGGGAATGGGAATAACCACATCCAGATCCAGAAACTGCGCTCGGGAATCGTGTCCCAGAGGAGCCAGGTGGGAATGGGATGGGAATGGGAATGGGATGGGAATGGGAATGGGAATAACCACATCCAAATCCAAACTGTGCTCGGGAATCGTGTCCCAGAGGAGCCAGGTGGGAATGGGATGGGAATGGGGATGGGAATGGGGATGGAAAACATCCACATCCAAATCCAAACTGTGCTTGGGAATCGTGTCCCAGAGGAGCCAGGTGGGAATGAGGGGGAAAACATCCGGGAGGGGACACAGCTGAACATCCACATCCAAACTGCTCTTGGGAATCGTGTCCCAGGTGGGAATGGGGGGGTTGGGGAGGACAAACATCCAGGTGTGTCCCAAGATGGGGAACAACTCTCCAGGTGTGTCCTGGAATGAGGAAAAACTGTCCAGGTGTGTCCTGGGACTGGAGACAACCATCCAGGAGTGTCCTGGGGTGGGGGACACAGATCCTGGTGTGTCCTGGGATTGGGGAACAACTGTCCAGGTGTGTCCTGGGATGGGGGACAGTCCTACAGGTGTGTCCTGGGATTGGGGAACAACTGTCCAGGTGTGTCCTGGGTGGGGGACACAGGTCCTGGGGTGTCCTGGGGTGTCCTGGGGTGGGGGACAATCCTCCAGGTGTGTCTTGGTGTGTCCCAAGTGGAGGGGACAACCATGCAGGAGTGTCCAGGGGTGGGGGACACCCCTCCAGCTGCGGGATTCCCTCCCATCTGACATTCCCATTCCTGATCCCAGTGCCTGTTCCTGGAGGAGCACATCCGGGAGGCGGGCGAGCAGGGGGACGCGGCCCTGGGGGTGTCCCTGTGACATTCCCATTCCCATTCCTGGTCCCATTCCTGGTTCCAGTGCCTGTTCCTGGAGGAGCACATCCGGGAGGGGGGCGAGCAGGGGGACACAGCCCTGGGGGTGTCCTTATGACATTCCCATTCCCATTCCCGGTCCCATTGCCATTCCCAGTGCCTGTTCCTGGAGGAGCACATCCGGGAGGCGGGCGAGCAGGGGGACACAGTGCTCCAGGTGTCCCTGTGACATTCCCATTCCCATTCCTGGTCCCATTCCCAACTCTCCAGTGCCTGTTCCTGGAGGAGCACATCCGGGAGGGGGGCGAGCAGGGGGACACGGCCCTGGGGGTGTCCTGGGTTCCCCCCTGTGACACTCCCATTGCCATTCCTGGTCCCATTCCTGGT